ACGCACAACTGTCTTTAACTCCAGTTGTAGGATCTCCAGTGCCCTCTTCTGGACTTTACAAGCACTAGGAATGTATACATGCAGGCAACACCAATACACATGAAACAAATATATATATTTTAAATATATATATTTAAATTCTTTAAGATTAAATATTTTAAATATATTTATTTATTTATATATTTAAAATATTTAATCTTAAAGAAAACTATCCCATACAAACAAATACACACAAACTTACATGCATGATGTTCACACTCTTATTAAAAACCTTCACATAAGGCTTCAGGATGTCAAAGTGGAATGCAGGTGTCAGCAGGCGGCGTTGGTGGCTCCATTTCTCTCCAGTGCTCACCAACAGCCCATCCCCTAGGAGGGCAGCCATGGCAGTAAGCAAAGGTAGCACCTTTCTTTGGGCCCACAGGGATGTCTCCTGACCCTGACCTTGAGGTACTCACCCAGCCACGGCTTCAGGAAACCATAGAAAGTCATTTCCTTAGGGGCCACTGCAGCTGCCATGATGGACAATCAGGGGCCATGGAGAAATCAAATGTGAACTTGGGGAGTGGGTGGGGACTCTCAGTCCCAGGGCTGTGCACTTCCCCTCCAAGTCCAGCAAGGCAGGAAGGGGAAAGGGACAAAGGAAACTAGGAAGAGGAAGGACCTGAGACAAGGCTAGACCAGGCTGCAGTAGCAGGGAGAGCCAACATCAGCCTGACAGGGCACAGCATGCCCCAACATGCCTTCACACAGCTGCTACATAGTCCAGCACATACTCCACATTTGAACCCCAGTACGACACCCTTGTATGCCTTTACAGAGATCTGGGACACACTCTCTGACATGTCCTGATACATCCTGAAGGTAAGACAGGGACACAGTTAGGAACACAACATATTTGATCTTCCCTGAGATGATACAGTATGATCTAGCATTGGAATGCAACAGTCTGACATGATCTAATTGTGCCCTTTAGATAACCCCAGATAGGATTTAAATGTGTCCCATTCACACTCCAAATGTGACCTAAACATGCCCCATAATTTTCATGTATCCTCCTTTATACCATGCTAAGCATTGCGTATTTAGAGTTAAAGGCTCCCCTATCCTCAAAGGCCACAGGATGCTGGCCCCATGTGCTCCTTCCAAGAAGTGCCACCGCCCCTCAAGCCATCAAGCAGGTCCAGGGCCAGCCACACACAGATGAACCCATCCAGATCTCCCGAAGTACTGCACCCACCCTCTGTCCATCCCGAGTCACTTCCCAGTTTAAGGTCCCTTTCATCAGAAGCGGCTGAAGCAACTGTAAGACACTAAACTCAGGTGGGTGAAATCCCTGGCGGGCTGTGTGCCTCTTCAGGCATCAGTTTCCTGAACTCTAAACCCTTCTGCTCTGTTCGGCTCTGCTCTATCTTGTCTGTGTCAGATCTCTGTTAGAAGGACGGTCATAGCCTCCATTCCTGCCAACGACCTCTTGAGAGGTGTCCTGATAAATTGATCTGATTATGCTAATGAGCCCATAAAATGATGAATGCTTGCAATGATGTTTGTCCATGCTATATTCTCGATCCTATGACAAATGGCCATTGAATAGATTTCTTTGTTTGTTTATGAAAAATAAATTTGTAGACCCATAGAACTTGAACACACAGAGATCTACCAGTCCCTGCTTCTTTACCACTGGCCTTAAAGGGGTGCACGGTACACCCAGAAGATCTTCATATTTTATTTTATTTCTTTACTAGAGATGTTTTGTCAAGGATCAAAAAGTAGGGAAAGATCATATACCCTAAGCATGCAAAAGACCTTCTAGCCTTTTGCTTTTGTTTTAAGAAAGTGCTATAAAGACTCATGTGTCCTTTTCTGCTTTGGTTCCGTTGATGAATTCACAAAACAGGTTGGACAGTCGTAACTCACGCCTTTAATCCCAGAACTTGGAAGGCAGAGGCAAGCAGATCTCTTTGTGTTCAAAGACAGCCTCATCTACAGAGTGAGTTCCAGGACATCTAGGACTACAACAGAGAAACCCCAGCCGACAAAAAAAAAATGCAGTCTTGTTATTCGTCATTTTATGTCTAAAATAGTATGAGACAATCAAGTCACAGTGGGAGATGAAGAATCTGTCCTGTCACCCAAACGAGGCAAAGTTAAGGGAGTCCCAGAACCCATGCTGGACCCAGAGGGATTTTTTTTCAAGGGGTTGAGCCATTAGGGGTCACCTTTCCCCAGATGAGCATGAAATCATCCCAGAGGAAGATGGAACCAAGACAAGAGATAAAGATCCTGCAGCATGTTTGAGACCTGAACCCAGATGTGCTTGAAGAGTACTCTCCCTGGATTTTTCTGCCAAAAAAAATTCTTTAGTTGTCTTTTGTTGCTGTTTGTTTAATTTCAGCGCCTAGGCATGCAGACTAAGGCTCTGTACATTGCAGAGAAGCATCCCACTACAAAGCTACACCTCCAGCCAGTAGATCTTCTTTCTTTCCTAAGACAACACTGGGCTTAATTTCCATCACTCACTCAACAGAACTCAGGATCTAAAGGAACCAAAAGCCTTGTCCAGGGTTAGTCAGGTTAGTAGCAGGGTTGTGGCTTCTATTAGACATGGCTCACTCTCTCCTGCCCACCTGGCCTGTGCACCGATGGAAACACTGGGAGAAAAGGAAGAGAACAGACCAGTCATTGGATCCTGGGGGAAAATACCTGGGGCCTGGAGCACGGGAGCAATGAACTTGGGGTGGGTGAGCCTCAGGATGGGGTAGAAGGCCCCAAACCAAAAGAGGTGGACATCAGGGTAGTAGTGGCCCAGTTCAGTCATCAGCTGCATGCCTTCCTCATTGCTCTTGACCTGGGGATGGAGAAGGCGAAGGTTAGTCTTGATGGGGGCCTCAGATAGCCACATTTTCTTGTCAATCAAATCACACACCACTCTTAGACTTCTCAATAGTTCATTCAGCTATGGCTCTTGCTAAATCAACCTGGAAACCTGGGTTAAACTGTGTGCATCTTTTTTTTTTAATTTATGTCTCTATATGCATCTATTACAGCTATATACATAGCTCTGTGTGTGTGTCTCTGTCTCTCTCTGTCTCTCTGTCTCTCTCTCTCTCTCTCTCTCTGAAGCCTTATTCTCCTGTCTCTCTTTTTTATTTTATATTTCTTTTGAGACAGGGTTCTCTGTGTAGCCTTTGCTGTCCTAGAACTCACTTTGTAGACCAGGCTGGCCTCAAACTCATAAAATTCTGCCTGTCTCTGTCTCCTAAGTGCTGGGATGAAAGGTGCACCACCACTACCCAGCTTGTCTTGTTTCTTAAGATTTATTGGTTTATTATTTGTATATGTGTATATAGCTACATATTTTATGCAAATGCCCATGTAGCCCAGAAAAAGATGTTGGAACAACTGAAAATGTAGTTTCAGGCAGATGCCAACTGCCTGATATGGGGGCTAGGTACTGAGGCCAGCTTCTCTCCAAGAACAGCAAGGGTGGGCTGGAGAGATGGCTCAGAGGTTAAGAGCACTGGCTGCTCTTCCAGAGGTCCTGAGTTCAATTCCCAGCAACCACATGGTAGCTCACAACCATCTGTATTGAGATCTTGGGCCCTCCTCTGGCAAGCGGGCATACATCGAGGCAGAATGTTGTATACATAATAAATAAATAAATCTTAAAAAAAAAAAACAAGAACAGCAAGGGTTCTTAGCCGCTGAGCCATCTCTTCAACCTCTCTCTGTTTCTTGAATGGATAGACAAATAGAAGATAGATAGATAGATAGATAGATAGATAGATAGATAGATAGGTAAATAGATATGGATAGATTGATGTGGGAGTGTCATATATCAATCTGTTGATTTCATTGGTTAATTAAATAAAGAAACTGCTTGCCCTGATAGGTTAAAACATAGGTGGGAGGAGTAAACAGGAGGAAGAGGAAGTGAGGTAAGACTCCTCAGACAGACACGAGATAGCTCTGCTCTCAGAGTCACATGCGATGAAGCTCAGACCCAGGATGGACGTAGGCTAGAATCTTCCTGGTAAGCGCACCTTGGGGTGCTTACACACATTATTAGAAATGGGCTAAATTAATATGTGAGAATTAGCCTAGAAGAGGCTAGATAGAAATGGGCCAAGCAGTGTTTAAAAGAATACAATTTGTGTGTTGTTATTTCGGGCATAAGCTAGCAGGCGGCTGGGGTGCTGGGGACACAGCCCCACCGCTCTTATTTCAACGATAGATAGATAGATAGATAGATAGATAGATAGATAGATAGATAGATAGATAGATAGATAGATAATTGATGGATAAGTATGGATGCACAAATGATTTATAGATATGATACTTAATAGATAAGTAAAGGAAATAGGAATACATAATAGATTACTGACAAAGAGGTAAAATTTCTTAGATATAATTAAATTTATGAGTGTATCTGTGTATATATTTCACCACCAATTATCTGTTCCACTTTGTGTAACTCTCTCTGTGTATCTGTATCATTCTGGCTCTCTTTTGCTCTCTCTCTCTCTCTCTCTCTCTCTCTCTCTCTCTCTCTCTCTCCCTCTCCCTCTCTCCTTTGGCTCTGTATGCCTCTTTATGTGTCTTTATTATATTTTTTTTACATCTGATTCTTCTGATATCTTTCCCCTCTCTCCTTACCATTCATATAAACTCAGGGTAAACTCAGTTAATTTTCCCCAGCACTGGCCAAGTGCCTCTGCAGTTCTGAAGCAAAGAATACTTAGAGACACCTATAGTCTTGGTTCTTAGTTCAGAAGGAAAATGAGATGAGAATTAATCCCAGCACTCAGGAGGCAGAGGCAGGTGAGATTAAGGCCAGCCTGGTCTACAGAGTGAGTTCAATGACAGCCAGGGCTACACAGAGAAACCCTGTCCCAGGGGAAAGAAATAACTCCCCTCAGGAGAGAACTAACAGCCAGCTTAGGTGCTGGATTTTCATGTAAGGAAGCAGCCTTGGGAAAGAGAAGGGAGAAGATAGTGAAAGATCCGATGTACAAAGCTCAGGGGAGGGAGGACCCAAAAGTGGACACAGGGGGACCACAGGGAAATCAGGGGAGGCCAAGAAAGTCTCATCCTAGAACAACGAAAAGAGATTCTTGGAAGAATGATAGAGACAGAACAGCAGAGAGCCGTGGCAAAAAAAGATTCCATGGGGCCAGGATTTGAGGACCTGGAAATGACAAGGTGACAAGAATAAGGAGCAGTCAGAGAAAGGGGGCAGCGTATGAAGACTCTGCCCATGAGGCTATGACGAATGAGCAGTCTGGAGAAGAACAAAAGAGGGATGGTGGGGTGGATGGACGGGAGCTTACACGTCACCCAACTCTCCAACATCATTGTGATCAAGAAAACATGATGGGTGGCTGAGTTCATCCAGGACCTTCTAGTGGAGCGTCATTCCAGTAATTCTCTTTTAAACTATAAATACTTTGTAGTGAGCCTGTTCCTGTAGAGAACCTTGACTAACACAAATTGTGGTGCCAGGAGTGGCTCAAAGGAAACTGAATTATAAGAACACTTTTCTCAGGGCTAGGAGGTGGTGGCGCACGACTTTAAGCCCAGCACTCGGGAGGCAGAGGCAGGTGGATCTCTGTGAGTTTGAGGACAGCTGGTCTATAAGAGCTAGTTCCAGGTCAGGCACCAAAGAAACCCTGTCTTGGGAAAAATGGAAGGAAGGAAGGAAGAAAGGAAGGAAGGAAGGAAGGAAGGAAGGAAGGAAGGAAGGAAGGAAGGAAGGAAGGGCAGACTTTTTCTCTAATGGGTTGTTGGAATCTGGTGCTAATTCTGCAATTTGCTTAACTGTAAAGATGCTTTAGTGGTTTGAATGAGAAATGTCCACATAAGATGGGACACTCGATCCCCAGTTGTTGATCCCCAGTTGGTGGTGCTGTTTGGGGAAGTTATGGAACATTCAGGAGGCGGAGCCTTGCTGAAGGAAGTAGATCACCGGGGACAGGTTTTGAGGTCTTATAGTCTGTGCTACTTCTCTCTCTCTCTCTCTCTCTCTCTCTCTCTCTCTCTCTCTCTCTCCCTCTCTCCCTCTCTCCCTCTCTCCCTCTCTCCCTCTCTGTTCTAGTTATGGACGGAATGTGAGCTTTCTGCTTCCTGCCCCTCCTGCCAGACCTTCTCACTATGACGGACTCTGGAACTTTGAATGAAAGTAAACCAGTTCTTCCTAAGGTTGCTTTTGGTCATGGTGTTTAATCACAGAGCCGGACACTAACTGATACCATTGCTGAAGGCTCAGTAATCCTGAGACTACTGATAACCAATGGTGTGAACTGCTTAAAGAATTATGCAAGATAAATGCTCTGATAATTCTGATTCACCCACTGAGAGGAGCAAGGCCGTAATGACTCTCTATATCAAACCTTTTAACATGACTGGGAAAATAAGGACTATAATATGCCAGCTAGTTGCTTCCAATGTTTCTAGATAAAATAACAAATAAAAACAAAATGAGCTTAGTCTCCCAGCTCCAGTGGTGACAACCCATCTAAAAGCTTGTAACTATGTCCTAAGAGAGAAATCTTTTTTGTTTGCTTGCTTTCTTTTCTTTTTAAGAAAACATTTTCCTGTGTAGCTGCCTTGACTGCCCTGGAACTTGCTCTGTAGACCAGACTGGCCTCAAACTCATAGAGATCCTCCTGCCTCCGCTTCCCAGGTGCTGGGATTAAAAGCATGAACCACCACTGCCCAGCCCAGCCCTACGAAGAAAACTTAACTTAACCCTGCCTAATACAGAGGGATTGAAAGAAAGTTTCTGGGCTGGGAGGTACAGGGGAGGAAGTCCTGAGGAGATGTGAGATAAGGGAGGGCAGACAGGGAAGCTAGAAGGAAAGAAGGCTGCGGTGAGAGGTGAGGGAAAAGCCACACTTGAATCAATGCCATTGGAGGTGGAGACACTGAAATCTAAGTGCAAGGGGCACAGACATGAGACTAAGAAACCATTCCCAGAAAGTGTAGCCATTATGGAAGGGGTCACAGGGAAAAAGAAGAAGTGATTGGGATAGTGATGGAACCCTTTCATGGGGAACCCGGGACATTCTGTGTTTCATCTTGACCCCACAAAGGAAAACAGAGTGTTCAGTGGAGGCCTCTGACACACTTAGAGAACGGAGAGCTAGATAAGGAAGGAAGGACAGAATCTGAATTGTTGGAGAGGGGAGATCACATCTATCTTCTGACATTCAGGGTCCTCTGGGCGGAGGTAGGAGGATCATACCTCATTCCCACAGAGGAAAAGGCATCTCGGAGAGGTACAGGCACTGGCCTGAGGACAGCAGAGCTGGGCCAGGAAGGGTCCTATCACATGCGGTCCACTAGAAGGCCACAAGCCCAATAGTGGGTAGTGAGGACCGCAGGTGGGGAAGGGGGCTCAGTCCTATGCAACCTGTCTTGGGGGCCTCTAACTACAACATAACACAGGACTGGACAAATAACAGGAAGAAACCTTAGACCATGAGTCCTGATGAGAATGTGGCCCAAAGTTAGCTAGGGATAAGAAAGGCCAAAAGAGAAGGAAGAGGAAGAAGAGGAAGAAGAGGAGGAGGAGGAAGACGGAGACGAAGAAGAAGAAGAAGAAGAAGAAGAAGAAGAAGAAGAAGAAGAAGAAGAAGAAGAAGAAGAAGAAGAAGAAGAAGAAGAAGAAGAAGAAGAAAGCTTCAGAACACACACTGTGGACAGAGGCAAGGAGAGGATCTGCTTTGTGTGTGAGTAGAGAGGGACTCCTGGGCCTCCCTCACTACTACTGTTGTAGGCCCCAAGCCCTCTCCCGACCCCTAGATTCCTAAGAACCGTTCCTGACCCTGTGAGAAGACATTCCTTCTGACACCCCAGACCCACCTGCCACCATACTCACCATGCCCATGTGACCCCAAAACCAGTGCCCCGAAGGGGGCTGAGGGAAGCAGCGGAGCCGGCAGTAGTTCTCATAGAAGGTATAGATCCAGACCAGAAGTCGGACCAGGCACCAGGAGGCCCCACCCAGCAGCAAAAGATGCCATGGGGAGGTAGCCACGGACCCCAGTCCCAGCCAGGACAAGCTCAGCTGTAGCATCCTGCAGGGCAGATAGGCAGAGCATGAAATTCCAAGGTCCAGGAAACAGAGGTGAGCCGCCTGGGTCACTGGGCAGGACTGAAATAGAGAAAGGAGAAGAGACACCCAGGGCAATGCAGGGGAGAGACAGTGAGAGAGGGGGACGAGAAAGAGCGACAGGCAGTTGGGAACTGTCTAGAGTTTAAACTGGCCCAGACTGAAGCACTGAGAAGTGGCGTAGTAACTGGGAAACCATGGGCCTCCAGAACCAGCGGGCTCCCTGGAGCCACTCTGGCTGTAGACAGAGCTTCCAAGTAGTCAAGGCCGTCCCTGTGTCCCCAAGCCTGGCACCTTCTCTCTGGAGCAATGAGTCCCAGGGGACCTCCTCTCTTCTTCTCCGGAAATGCTTAAGTTTCTGGCTTCGGAGTGTGTGTGTGTGTGTGTGTGTGTGTGTGTGTGTGTGTGTGGACTGATGATCTGGGCTGAGCCAATCATCCCCAGGCCTTAGCTGTCTCCTCCCAGCCCCAGCAAGATTCCAAAATGAGGGGGCGGAGTCAACCCGAAGCGGATTTTGAGTGACCTTCCCAGGCAGGCCGGAGGTTCTGAGAACCTATCTCAGCCAGGACAACAGTGTCTTAGAGCCAAAGTTTCCAGCCTCCCTCGCCCTCCGCAGGCCCTCTGCACAGCAGGCTGGGGCACAGCAGGGCAGCATTTCTCAGTGCAGAACCGAAAGACTTGGAGCCTCTGCCCGACAGCTGCAAAGCCTGGCAGAATTCAAGCCGAGCCTCCAAGTAATCCAAGTTCTGAGTGGAGACAAGACTTCCAGAAACAAAGAATTTAGCCCTACTGGGTCAGAGTGGGATTGATTCTGAAACTAAAACTCCCAGCTGAGGAGCCAGAGTTCAGATAGGAGGCAAATGGGAGGGGTCAAGCTGGAGTTGGCAGTGGGCGGGGTGGCGGGGGGGGGGGGGGGGGGGGGGGGGCGGAGT